CAGGGGCTGCCCTGTGTGTGGGGAGGGACTCGGCCCTGGGCAGAGTTGGCCCTGAGTCTGGCTGCCCTCAGGTCAGGATTCAGATACACAGAGAGAAAACACAGTTGTCGGTGCCCCGGAGGATGTGTGTGAGTGCGTGGGATTGTATGTTAGTGTGTGCCCGTCATTTGTGCACCGCATACAGTGGTATATGTGGTGTGTGCGTGTGTGTGTGCGCATGTGCACAGGTGGAGAGCCCGGTGGTGTATCCTGAGCGTAGCGTGAAGGGGACACCCTCTGAGGCCACCGTGAAGGGGTCATGCCCTAATGGCAAGGCGACCCTCAGGGTCCCTGTGAACTCTGAAACCTGAGGCCTCAGGGGTCAGACCCTAAACCGCCACCCTAGACCCAGGCCGAGTGTTCTGGAGGAGGCCCGGCCTGGCTGGCATCCAGAGACCGCCCCCTGCACGCACCTCCAGGAAGCGTGTGGCGATGACACGGTCGTCCTCGGTCAGCATCAGGTTGTCCACGAACATCCAGAAGAAGGGCTGTGAACCGCTGGGCCGGGGCCGTGCGTACTGCAGGACGCGGTGGAACTGGAACAGGTACCACCCTGGGGGGCATCGGGCGCGTCTGGCTCTGCTGGGTGCAGGGGCACGGGCGCAGGGGCAGGGCGGGGTGGGGACTGCGAAAGGACCCGTTCCACGTGGCTGGTCTGGGCCCCCGGCGCCCACTACTGCCCAGGATAGTTCTGTCCCGCTAGGGCCGGCTGTCACCCAGTGTGCTGACCCAGCCTCACCCAGTGCCCGGCTTTAAGGCGCAGAGGCGGTTAAAAGGAGGCAGGGCCTGCAGGTGGAAGGGGCAGGACAGGGTCAGAGGGGCCTGGGATGAGGCGATGGCCTCACAGGGGACCCAGGTCAGAGCACATCCCATGGTACTTGCTGAACGTGGACATTTCATGGATATCAATCAGTGATCCCTCAATACAGCTGTTTTTATAAAATGCTGTCAATTTGTAATTTCCCGCCCTCCCAAAGGGGGGTTGGTGGGCCATGGGGCGGTGAGTTTGGGATGAGAGGGCCCAGGTATTGGGGCAAAGGGTGCTCTTACCCGGAGGGTGGTCACAGGGCTGGCGGAGGGGAGGTGTGCAGCCGTACACGAGGTCGAACGGGCCCCACTCTTCCACCTGCAGGACACGGGACACGGGGGACGCGTGCAGTGTGGGCAGCCTGTCCCAGCAGCAGGCTCCCCTGTGCCCAGCGGTGGCACCCACAGGCGGGCAGTGAAGCCGCCGGGCCAGACCCACCAGTGACCCTGTCAGTCACTATCGGCCTCGGCACCTTCGGGGCTGCCTGTCATCGTTGGAGGAGGGGCTGGCCCTCCCCGGTCACTGGGAGCCCGAGTGACTGCCCATGGCAGGCGTCACCCTGCAGGTCGCTCCTGGGAACGTCAGTGCACGGACCCTGGACTCAGGGGCTGTGAAGGGCTCCAGCCACGCTGGATGCTGTTAGGCACTTCGTCCGAGGCCACAGTCCAGGACATAGGAGATGGCCTTCAAGGAGCCAAGACATTTCATGGTGGGAATGTCTGTCTGGGGGATGTTTTCAATCGGCCCGGGTTCATTTTAGAGGGGGGTGGGGATTCGCCCCCTCTCTGGGCAGCACCATCCCCGGTGGCGGGACTGGCCCCTTGGATTTCAGCAAGTTGAAGAGGAGGCTTGGCCCATCGCTCTGCTCTGGGCTGTGGCCAGTGTGGGGGCCAGGAAAATGCCCCTCTCATCTCTCCCATTGCAGAGCGAACCGCCAGCAACTGTGAGGACGAGTGCCAATTCCTGTGAGACCCTCACGTCGGCCAGGCTGGGGCCAGAGCTGGGCCAGAGCTGGTGTCCGCATCCCCCTGCCCACACCCCACCCGGGACCGGTGCACACCCGCTTCCCTCTTGGCGCTCGGACGGACACGCTGTACTCACGTCCCTCCTGACCACGTTGGTAACATCGTCCAGGTATTTCAGTTTTCCTGAGCCAGAAACACTTTCCAAAAAGCCCAAACCCGTCAGCTCTGGGTGGGGACAAATAAGGGCACAGAACATGTTGACTCCGAGCCCAACCAGAACCAAAAGGCCCACAAATGACCCGAAAAGCTTTATCTTTCTAGTGACACGATGGGGACGAAGGAGGGCCTAAGGATGAAGGTGTGCTGCATTGTAAGCGAAGCAAGCAAACTCCCCGAGTACTGATTCGAGAAAGTCAGGCGGATTGTGCGATGTCGGCCGCACCCGGGGTTAGGAAATCCAGATGGCACCCGGCCAGGCTGAGTGACGCGGTGGGCGGGCTGCTGGAGCCCCGGCCCGGCTCTGGAGAGTCTGTGGCCGGGGGACAGGAAGAGCCCGGAAAGGACCTTACAAATGGGCTCGGGGATGCGTCCCTGGCGGGAGAAGAAGGCAGGGGGCGTGGCCTGGCTCCCGGGTGCCTTCCGCTGTAAGTTATGCCCTTTGAGTCTCAGCCCCTGGCCCGTGACTCGGTGCTTGAGTCTCAGTGACCACTGCTCGGGGCGGGTTCCCATGCCTGTTTGGCCTGGGCCTAGGTAGGATGCATTTCCATGCATTCACTCTTGTGGCTGCAGAGCCCAGAAGAATCTGTGATATCCAATGGCACCAGCAGGGGGCGGTCAGCTGGGGGGTCCAGAGAGGCAGCACACCCGGGCAAGGCTGGAGCGCAGCAGTGCGGGGCCTGCCGGCTCACTGCGAGTGAGGGTGCTGGGAGCCCCGGGAGGGGCGGGCGGCCCTGCAAGGTGGCCAGGGGTGTGCTGGTCTCTGAAGTGGACTTTGTGTGTGGTGGCCGTGGGCAGAGAGCCAACGTCTGCATTTTCTTTCCAAGGCACGACTTCTGAGGGAGTGAGCACCAGGGCTCCTGCACCCTCTCCCCACCCCCCAAAGGGAGCCTCAGCCCTGGAGTTGCCCCAGGTGCTCAGCAAGTGGGACACTGGGAACACTCTAACAACCCCCTTACCCCCCAACCCCACACACACACCCCTAGGACAGGCAGGTGCATCACCGCACTCACCTTTCCTGATGTCCCCAAAAAGGGACAGCACGCGGACCGGCTCTCTCTTCCACACAGGCACCGTTTTATACATCTCAAGGGGACTCTCCTATTTATTAAAAAAAGAAAAGACGACGCTCTGGGCCCGTGAATCACAGGGAGGCTCCTTTCTGGCCAGCAGAGCGGCCCCCTGAGCAGAGGCACACCTGGGGCACCCCTGCCCAGGGGCTGGCCCGCCCTGACCTCACTGTGCACCCCCAGGCCACGCCTCCTGCCCTGAACCCTCCCCAGACCATCGCTAGAAAGGAAATAAGGTGTGGCCTTCCTGAGTGTGAGGAAGACAGTTCTGCGGGGGACACGCCCTGTGCATTTCTTGGGGTGAGCCTCACATCGGGGGCTTCTGAATACACGCAACTTATTCCACCCCATTCCTCTCCTTCCCTGTGTGGGCTCTGAGTGCAGCCCCAAGCCACCGAGCACCCTGAACGTCCCTCCCAGGCCGAGGACCGAGACCTGTGCCCTGTGCTCAGCCACAAAGAAGCCAGAAGCCACACCAGAGACAAAGGATGATGCCTGTCCTGCCCTCCCCTCCCGGGACGCCCGGGGAGACTGTTGATCCATTTGGCAAACAAGCCCCCCCAGCGATCCCTGCCCCCAGGAGGTGCACGTGGGGGGAACCTGGCCTCCTGCAAGCAAGGAATCAAGCCGCCCACTGTCGAGACCAGGCCTGAGCGGGGGTCTGCCTGTGTGGGAGGCTGGCAGGGGAACCCGAGCCACACGAGGAAGGGCCTGCCTGGGCGCACGCAGACAGGACAGCACCACACAGGCAGCGAGTGAATGGGCAGGGGAGTCTGGGCAGGGCAGGTGTGCCCACGCCCCGAGGAGTGTGGGCATTTTCCTGCAAAGTGAAAGTCCTCCTGCAACTTGCAAGCCTGGTCGTCCCACACTGAGGTGGACAGTTTCTGCCACTAGGTGGGCCATCGGGCACAGGGGCAGCTGTGACTGACGGACGCTGTGGGACGCGTGTCCTGGTCCCCGGCTGCACTGCAGGCGCAGAGCTGCTGCCCCCTGCGCCTGGCACTGGGCTGGCGTAAGGACGTTTCCAAATGTCAACTTCATGTTCTTGCAAAGTGGAAAGTCCTCCTGCAATTTGCAAGCCTGGGTCGTCCGACGCTGAGATGGACGGTTTCTGCCACTAGATGGCCCTAAGGAGGTTCTATGAGGAGTACAAGTGCCTGTTCTCCAAAAAGCACCATAAAGACACCTGCAAAGGTTGTGGTAAATGCGCACATGCCCCCAGCCCGTGCCAGGGAGAGGGTGGGACGGCACGCCCGCCTGTGCTCCCTATGGGTGGGCCCGGCAATTCTGTGCGCAAGTCCCCAGAACCGGTTCTGGCTGTGGGCCCCTACTGTCCACTGCTGCATCGCCAAGCACCCTCCCTCGCCCTCCTGTCTTAGTTTTCCAGCACAACCACAACAAATGGGAATAAACTGTGTGGCCACGAATTTACTCAGGAGGCCGAAGTCTAATCAACGTGTCAGCAGCACTGGTTCCCGCTCGGAGTCTGAGGGGGGCTCTGACCCAGGCCTCTCCCCAGCGTCCTGAGGGGCTGGCAGTCCCTGGGGCCTGGGCGTGTAGACCACACTCCAACCTCTCTCCCCAGAGCCACACGGCTGCCCAGTCTCCTCTCCTTTCTCTCTATGACACTCACTGCATTCCAGACCCACCCTAACAGGAGACATAGATCCTTAACTCAATTGCATTTGCAAGGACCCTATTTGCAAAACAAGTCACCGTCACAGGCACCAGGGTCAGCACCTGGATGTGTTTTTTGGGGTCACAGTTCATCCCACTGTGATGAGCCCACTGCTCCTGCCTAGATCCTGGCTCCTGGCTGTGACCTTCAGCCCTCGAGAGGCCGCGGTCCAGCCAGCTGTCCAGGCATTTGTGCTCCTCTCCTGCCTGCTACGAACACCCGATTCCCAGGCTCGGCACAGCCCCACCGCCTGCTAAAGTAACTGGAAAGCAGACCATCTCTCGTGGAACCTGCTGTCAGAGAAAGCACATTTGCTTAAACGCCTTCCGTGTCACCTTGTACCAGAGCAGGTAGGCATTCTGCAACCAGTGGCCAGAGGAAGCCAGCAATGCTGGGGCCCCTGGCACCGGTCCGTCCTGTCCGGTGAGCGGCTCCTTACCGGATCCTGGTCATAGAAGGCCTTCAGCCGCTCCCGCCACTTCCTCCTGCGCTGCAGCAGCCCGTTGCGGGGGGAGGGCAGGCACAGGAAGCACACCCAGTTACTCATGGCCTGAACTTTCCCCGAGGTCCCGGGCCCCACCAGGGTGTCCACGCACTCGAAGCAGTAGCACCTAGAGTCACACAGAAGCCACAGTGACTGAGACGACTTTGCTTTGGCCACCGGCTGACACCATGGGCCGTCTACTGGCCGAGGAGAGCCTGCCCCTGGCTTTGGAGCGAGCTCTCGGAGCCACACCCGGGCTCCTGGGAAAGACGAAGTTGGCCCTGTTCGTCTGCACCCACACTGTGGGAAGGTGAGACTGTGGACCAGAGTGGGGGGGGCCTGTCCCTCTTAGGGACCTAGAGGGACGGGAACCAAGCCATCTGCAGAAGACAGTGGGCTGTTTATGGGCAAGGACAGATTTCAGAGAACCTCCTAAGCCACCTGTCTTCCCCCAACCCTGGAGCCCGGGACACAGTTAAGGTTTTCCAACATCAGTAGGGGAGGGAGGACTTTGGGGGGGGGGGGGGGCAAGTGCAAGGATAGCCCCGGGGGACTGAAGGGGAGGGGACTATGAATGGAGCTCATGTTGGCATGTAAGGAGGCATGAACATGCCCCTGCCTGTCTCCCCCTTCCTCCCGCCCTGACCAGCAGCCCCCAAGGGTGCAGGGTGTCCACCCTCCATCATGATTGGGGGAGCAGCTACGTCTTGGCGAGAACAATAATAAAAAAAAAAATTGGAAACACAAGTCTTTTGATGCCCCACCTCCCATATGTCCAGGCTCAACATCAAATGAAATATGTGAGATGGAAATTGAGAGCTTTGGAGAGAGTCATCCTTTTGTGGGGGGATCCCCCCTCATTCTCAGATGCGTGGGTGAGAAGGATGGACATTTCCTAGGGTCCTTGGCCTTCACCCGGGCCCCACCGGGCACCCCTCGCCTCACCGCGTGCAGTCGGGGTTTTCGCAGATGAGCAGCGTCTGTCCGGCGCAGCAGATGCAGCAGTAGGACTGGTACCCGTCCTCATCGTACAGGAAGAAGTAGTCCCGGAACTTGTCCTTGGAGAGAGCAAAGCAGCCAGTGCCTCCTCTGCTCCCAGGGGCCTCCCCAGCCGCCCCTTGGCTCCCGGCTTACCTTGCAGGGGGAGCACATCCCACCCTCGAACAGGGGGTGCTGCCTGCGCACCTGGAAGCTCCCACAGCAGATGCACAGCTCTAAGGGGACAGCCAAGGGGCAACGGGTTACGACACCACCAGGCAGAGCCCCAGACTTGGGGAGACATTTAACTAAAGAGGTGCAAGGCGCCTACACGGGAACCACAAAACGCCGTTGGAAGAAAAATCTAGGTAACTGGGAAGCCACGGTGTGAAGTCTGATCAAATAATTGAAGGGACACACACCCCCCCTCCCTGGGGCCTGACCCTTAGGCCCCGTCACAAGGACATTCCCTTGTTGCTTAGACCACATTCCACTTGTTAAGACCACATTCCACTTGCTAATAAGACCATTATCTCTCCCCTCCAGGACCTTCCAAGGATCTGGACCCGCCCAGAGAACTCTCCGCCCAGAAAAAGCCCGCCCGCCTTCGGACCTCTGACTCCCGTCCCTGGGTGCTGGCGCCATTTTAAGGCTCGGCCCATCCGGTATCCCGAGGACCTAATGAGTTCACAATCCCTCACCCCTTTGGCCTCGTGCGTTCCTCCTTCAGTGACCCTAACGCATGGATCGGACGGAATACTGTTAAAAGGATGCGCCTGCCCAAACTGATCTACACATTCCTCTCGAAATCCCAGCTGGCTTTTGTGTGCGCACAAAAGTTCACAAGCTGCTCCTGAACTGCATATGGAAATGCAAAGACACCAGAATAGGCAAAGCCGCAGAGAAAACAAGTAGATTTGTGATTGTCTAATGTGCAAGGGGGAGCTGAGGAGGAATGGGGAATGACTCGGGGCTGGGTTTTTTGGGTGTGTGTGTGAGATAAAATGTCCTAAACTTAGATAGTGGTGATGGTTGCGCAACTCTGGGAATGTGAGACACTGAACTGTGTACCTTAAAAGGAGCCATGGGGGCTGGGGCCCTGGGAGGGAGATGAGCAGCAGGGCACCAGCTACGCCCGCTGCCTCCTTCCTGGATGGAGGCCTGTGTGAGGCTGCAGCCAGCGGGTCCGGAGCTGGCTGACATCCCCTTTACCTGGGGGTGTGGGCACGTGTGCGACCACTCACCTTCTATGGCTCGCTGGTTACCCTTGACTTCATATGCAATCAGATCTGGAAAAGAAAGTCAAGTGGGGCCTTGCTTCTTCTACCGGCCTGTCGTTTAAGCACAGCCACCAGTGAGTGTCACACGTTGATCTTCTGAAGCCACAGGAGCCAGAGGACCCCACCCCCACCCCCACCCCCACCCCGTGGCCTCTACCTACCTTTCCTGCAGTGTTACCCTCCCCCCCAAGCTTGAGGGTGGGGAGAGCCCCTGGGTGGGGCCCTCCTGCCCCTGCCCTAGCATCTGGTCTATGTGTGAATATTCGAGAAGCCTGGAACCCAGGCCTGGGGTTGGCATCCCAAGTGATGGGTCCAGCACCCAAAGGAGCCCTCACCTCTGCGCGGCTCGGGCGAAGGGGTGGACGACTGCTCACTGGAGCCCACCAGGATGATGTCCACGCTGCACTCCGCCTCGGGGTCCATGTCTGGGGCAGCTGCCATCGGACACCGTCCAGGAGACAGGACAGGCACAAGCAGGGGGAGGAAATGGCCCCACAGCCTCTGCCTTGGAGCCCCTGGCCCCCGGCAAGGGCACCCAGCTCAGCCCCCACCCACCTTCCGCAGTGACACCTACCCCCCCTCCCAACCCCGAGGAGAGAGGGCTTGGTGTGGCCCCTGTGCCAGGTCCCTCCCCACCACGGCCCCAGCCACAGCACCCTCCGCCTTCATCTGGACCGACAGCATCGTCTGCTCCGCCGACTCCATCTGCACCCACCGCCTCCATCCGCACCCACCGCCTCCATCTGCACCCACCAGCAGCCGTGGGCCCCACGGCCACTCCCGTGCTCCCGCCCGCAAGTGTCCCCCAGATCTGCTGGACCCTCAAGGCAGGAGGCGAGGGAGAAGGAGAAAGGGCCTCACGGATTTCACAGGGCGGCTGCCACGGCTCCTCTTCCAGCTTCCCGGCGGGGTCAGGATCCGGGCTGTCCAGGCGCTCCCGGCTCAGGGTCCCAGGGGAGGAGAGGGCCATGGGACCGGGGAAGGGGCCTCCCAGGAGCCCGCAGGAACAGGTCAGGTGGGAGGCCTGGGGGCCATTGGGTGTGGGGGCCGAGGAGCACTAGGGGAGGGGGCGCAGGGTCCCCCAGACGTGCGGGGGAGGGGTGAGCAACCTTCTGTGTGAAGGGGTGTTGGGTGAAAGGGTGAGGAGCTCCTGCAGGCAGCTTATATGGGTGGGTGGGATAGAACGTTCCGGAAGGGAGGAGGGGGAGGAGAGGTGGGGTGGGGTTAAGTGCTCAGTGGGAGGGAAGGGGCTTGGGGGCAGGGTGAGGGGGTTCAGTAAAGGGATGCTAAGCCAAGTATGGAGTTGGGTG